CCGCACCCCCAGCGCCCGCACCCACCAGCGCGCCGGGCCTGCAGTTCGCCTGCGCCCGGCAGCCCGAGCTCGCCATGATGCACTGCTCTTACTGGGACCACGACAGCAAGACCGGCGCGCTGCACTCGCGCCTCGATATCTGAGGTCACCGCCTGCCTGCCGGGCGGAGGCGAGGATGCGGGACGCGCGTCGCCCCCTGGGCGGCAGCCACAGCCAGCAGCCGGACGGCGCGCCCTCCAGGATGCCTCTTGAGCCAGCGCCCACGACCCTTCTGCGCCTCCTCGCCTCCCGCACTCCACCCGCTCCTCTTTGTCCCCGCTGCTTCTCCTGTGCCCGCCCTTCTGCCCTCGCGTCCCCCTGGCCGGAGCTGCCTCTCCGCGCGCGCGTTCTGCAGGCCTCGCCTCCTCCCGGAGCCCCCGCGCCTGGACACCTCGGGCCAAAATTCACCTCGGAGAGACAGCGCCCAGGGCCGAGGTGCAGCCGCGTCTCGGCGGCGCGGACCTCCTGGCCTTCTCTTCCAGGTCGTGGGCCGCGGCTCTGCGCTCCCCGCCCGCCCGCGCTGCACCCGCAGCGGGACCCGCGCCGCCGGAGAAGGACAGACTGGTCAGATGGCTCCCCGAGCCCTGGTGGAGCTGCTCGGAAGCCGCTCTCCGCGGGGCCCGCTGGGCGGGGCAGGGGTTGGGCCCAAGCGGGGAGCCAGGGCGGCCGCGCTGCACGGCCTGAGCTCGGTTTCACACCACAGCCCCGCTACGAAGGAGCCTGCGTTTCCTCTGCTCTCCGCCCCGGCGCTTCGGGTGCCTCCAGACTCGGGCAACTGGCTAATATCTTGCTAGAAAGATCGGTGGGGCTTTTTTAGATGACAGTAAAAACTATTTTTTTTTTTTAAGGAAAAAACATTCACCGGGAAAACTGACGAAGTATTATGGCCTGGGATTTTGCTAAAACCAAACATCAAAATTAAAAACTTTGGTGTTCCTCATCTTTTCTTCGGGGAGATTTGCAGTAGAATTCCCGTCGGGCCTTCAAAAAGCTGCGTTCATAGAGGTAGGAGAAAATAACCAGTAAAAGATGGTTTTGTTTATGAATCTAGGGAGTTTTCCTCTCTTCCTATCTGGAAAAAATAAAAAATAAAACTAAAAAACAAATTTCCCCAAATCTTCGGATATAAGCCCCTTTGCTGAGATCGCTGCCTGCCTGACTCTGGCACGTGCTGCAGCGACCGCTCTTCCCTCCCTAATTTTTGTTTTTCAAACGCCTTGCTTCTCCCACCGTGGGAAGGAAAAATGTGACACTTGGCAGGGCAGCGGACGGCCCAGGCGGGCTTGTGGCCCGGGAGCTGGCTGGCCCGAAAACTTAGACCTGGTTGTATAGTGTGTCGTTTGGGGGACCAAATTTTTTAGCGAGAACTAGAGCACTTTTGTTATATTTGTATGTGTGTGTGTGTGCGTGCGTGCGCGTGTGTGTGCACACGCACGCGTGTGCCTTGTCAATCCCCTAATAAATTTTTTTGTTTTTTCTTTTAACACGGACTTACAAATTGTTTTCTTCGCGCCCTATTTCGGCAGCTAGTTGAAATAGCTTTTCAGCAAAAATGTTGACCTTTTTCAAAGTGAACTAAACAAGGGTGGAGGGCAACCCGGGTGGTGGCATTTTTTATTGTTGCTGCTGCTTTATTTTCCTGGATATTGTTTGTTTTCTGTGTCATCGCTCATGTGTTGTGGCTGGTTAACATCAGCAGAGACTTTGTCTCCCTACTTTGTTCGCAAGGCTGTAGTATACAGGGTTTGTTCTATTTTTGCACCCGTGCGAGCTTATATTTTGCCTCTTGCAAAATTATACTAGGTAGACAGGCTGTGTTTACATTATTCTCTTCTTATTTTTTTAAAAGCCAAATAGCCTCAAGAGTTTGTTCTCATTGTATAAAATCCTGGTTTCAGAAATGTACTGTCATCTGCAAACCTCTTTACAAATGTAATGAGTGACTGATTGCTTTATTATTTTTAATAATCAGAATTCATTTACTCTGAGATATGAGTAAGAGATTTGGGGCTTTCAGAAAGGATGGGTTATACTACATGGCTACAGAAATCAATTTCTCTTCCTTTCCTGAATCTTCAAATAACGAATTAAGATTCAGGCTTCTGCACCCACAGACAGGTATTTGACCTGTTTTCAGTCTGGATCTCCCTGGCCAATTAGGGGTGGCTGGCCTTCAATAGGGACAGTACATAATCAGCACTCACTCGTGGGGTATGTGTGAAGGGACAACAAATAAACAGCTCTCAGGGCAAGATGCGCGCCAAGGCTGGGAGCCAGGCACAGCTGGGGCTACATCCACACTTAGCCACAGATCCCCCACATCCCCTTCGACCTCCTGCCTCGCGGCCCCGATAGCAGTGGTAGCAGGTCCTGGCCAGCCGGTAGGCTAGAAGCAGGTGACACACTGTAGGCTGTCACTTTAGCAGACTGGGTTACAAGCCTCGGAAATGTCAGGGTGGCAACTCTGTTATGTGTAATTGGGACCAAGGGGAAATGGCTTTGACTTGGGATCCACTCTCCTCTCTCTCCCTGGAAGAGGGTACTGAATGGCAGAGGAAGCTGCGGGGGTTCTTAGGTACTAACCCTGAGATTGGGACTGGAACCTGCCAGAGCTAGGCTAAACAGACTGGAGAAAGAGACACGGCCAGCAGCAAGCCGAAGAGGCTGCTCAGGCCTGGCGTGTCTAGGTACTTCTGGGGGCCCAGTGCTCCACTGTCTAGCTGAATAAGGGGAGCCTCAGAAAAGACGGTGTGCTCTGTGCACTTGTCTATTTGTGCTTTGTGTGATGCGAACGACCGATGTGGCGTACAGCGTGGTTGTATACTAGTAACAGGGTGTGAGATATATGTGTGTCTGTCATTCCCCTGCAGGGAGGACATATATTTGGTGCATTGTAATAACCATATGGCTAACATTTAGGGAGGGCTCACTGGAACCACAGTATGTGTTGCATTCATACCTCATGATGATACAAGCAGTTATGTTCAGGGTATGTATTTCTGGCTTACTGAACGATAACAGAAAATAGATAGACTGCTTCATCTGGCAGAGGCTCCCTGTACTGAGGCTGGCTGTCAGCACCCCTCTAACAACTATCCAGAGCATGAAAAGCAGGAGAGGGCAGCTTCCCAGGCAAAGGCCTTGGTGAGCAAGTAGGGACCCACTTCCAGTGAGGTGGGGAAGTTGGGTTGGGCCAGTGTTGGAGAACAGAGCCTCTCTCTGCTCCTGAGAGCTCAAAGGCAAGAGGAACTGCAGGCTGGGAAGCCTTACCAAGTAGGGAGAATGAAATGAAGGAACCAGCAGGGGTTTCCTGGGTTTACACAGGGATTGGAGGAGGTGAGAGAACAGAGCGCCAGATCATACTCACTTCCCCAGGGATGCCGCAGGAAGACATCTGTCTCTAATTCCAGCCCTAGGGGTTTCTCCACAGCCCTAAGTAGGGCCGTTTTCCCTCCGTGCTAAATGTTTGGGGCAATGGCAGATTTTCTTCATTGCTCATTTCCTTTCTTTCCTTTTTGCACTTTGAGTTTCTGTTAGAGAAGCTTATTTAGAGAATTTCCTGAATAACAGCAAAAGTACTTAATAGAGTTCCTGACGTGTAGCGATTATGTCCTAGCATATACAGTCTGATGTGGATGGCCAGTGGCCCTTGTGAATGCATGACGCGTTTACCGGTGTGTGCTGTAAATACAGTGTAAATAGAGTCTGATGCGAATACTTTGCCAACTTCTGAAGGTCCTCGGTAGTGAGTTGCTACAGATGATACTGGGCGATGTATGTGAGTGTAGATGTTGACATCCTCCCACTCACCACTGACAGAATGAGCCCTCTCCTCGTATTTACATGCAAATTCTTAAGAAGTTCCCCCTGTAGCTGCTCAAAGTAAATAGACTGGGGACAAGGTGTCTTGTTCTCAAGGGGGGCGAGGGAAAGGTCTTTGCCAATGCAGTCTGTGCCCAAAGGACAGTGGGAGGAAGAAATAGGGAGTTCCCAGGATGACCCTGCACACCCCATTCCAGAACGTGTCAGAGACCTGTTTCCCCGGCATTAGTAAAGTGTTCATTGCCCCATATCCCAGGTTGGTGGGCAGGAAGCCCAGGACCTTTCACCTAATGTTAAGTGCCTTCAGTGTTTGACCTGTCTCCTGAAAATCAGTGCAGAAAGACGTGATATGGGTGGAGCCCCCTATTGGTTGGTGGAAACTGGGGGCTGACCCAGACTTTCCGCCTCCTGGCAGTAGGGGATCAGGGAATTGCCTGCACGGAGCTATTCGCTTGATGAATGCCTGCAGCACCTGAACCACTGGGCCAAAGTCTTCCCTCCAGGGAGGACTCTGCCAGGAAGTGGTTTGGTCAAGCTTAGGAGCCCTGCAGGGTC